ATAACTTAAAAAAATATTTTTTGGAAATTTGCTCAACCATTTTTTATTTATACATCAAATTATATTGCGTTGCAAAATGATCCGATTCTAAGCGCTGTCTTTCCACAGATGTATTCCTTAATTGAAACAAAATGACGCAGGGAGAAAATCTGATATTTAGTAACAAAAAAACCAGTTGACGTAGACGATTGAATTTTATACAAACTTGTTGCTAAATGGAAGATCTCAGGACACTCTACCTAAGTATTTATTTACTTTACTGTATTTAATTTTATTTAATCTTGATTAATGTCACTTAATGTTATATAATTAATTTAGTTTTAACTAAGGGTTATTTAAATTAATTTCATTTCATTTTATTTTCCTTCGTTTCTCTATATTTGCCCTTCTTCTTTGTTATTTTATGTGATTTTTATGTGATTTGAATAAAAGTTTGAAAAAAATAAGAAAAAATTAAACCAAATAAAATAAAATTAAATAAAAGAGTAATATACATTAAAATAATTCAAATAATATAAAATAATATAAAATAGTTAAAAATAAAAATAAAAAAAATTAAAAGAAAAAAATAAAATAAAATAAAATAAAATGAAATAAAATAAAATAAAATAAAATAAAATAAAATTAAATTTCAAAATATCATTTTTAAAGTTATTTTTATCTGTTTACTTTTTTTACGTATGTTATTTAAACTAAGTTTATTTTAATTCATTTTATCTTATATTTATTTTTCTTGTTTTTTGGTTCAATTTTGCTAATTTAATTAATTTATTTTCCGTTTTCAAAAGCCGTATGTTTGGCTGTCCGTACTACAACACGAGTAATGTAATGAGAAAGGTATTTGCACAGATCATCATTTCACTTACTCAATAACACTCTACAAGTAGCAGGTAGTTATGCTGGTTACATGTTAATTTATGAAAAGATGCGCAGCTGGTCAGCCAGTTATGTATCAGCCAGCTCTCAGACAAACTCTATTGTTTTCTGTATCCTTTGCTCTAGGGATTGCGCGTGGGCTCAACTGAGGAATTGTAGATTGCCTGCGATGCGATCACTACCTGAGTTATGTGTGCTAATCCAGGACTTAAACAATTTAGCTTTGTATGCACAATGAACATAATTGACGCCATTAACAGTACTCAAATCGGTCTCATGTTGCTAAAGTGAGCCGTTTACTGTTATGACCGATGAAACGCAATTGCGTTTGAAGCGAGAAAAGGCAGTAGCGAGACAAACCAGACATACGCGCATCTCAAGATACCCTCAAGGTCACAAGATTATGCTAATGTATAATACAATATTACCAAACGCCTTTTGTTTTCGGGATATAATGTCCTACAAGTAAAATATCGCCATACGTAGAATAATATATTACTGTTAGTTCTGAGACGGCTGATGTTTCGGTTTAATATGTATGTGTAGTTTCTATATATAATTTCTTAGTATTATTATGTTGAAAAATTTCAAGTAGTAATGAAAATATTGCAAAAGGGAGAGGAGAAAGAGAGACCAGGAGAGAGAGAGAGAGAGAGAGACAGGCAGGGAGAGAGAGAGAGAGGGAGAGAGAGGTTCAGCAAGAAAGATAGAGATGGGGAGAAAGTAGGTGTGTCGACACACAATTAAAATTTTATTGATTCAGCCGAAATAATGCGAAATATACTAAAATGAAATATTTTTAACCTATACACCTGAATATATGAGTGCAGGCATATGCCACATGAAATAATAAATTTAGCACATTTCGATTTGTTCAGCTGCCAGGCGAAATTTTTATGAGCAAACACAAATAAATATAATTATATATATGAAAAAAGGTAAAATAAATACGCGTGTATATATGTATAAAACAATATATATTTTCAAATTCACTGACTTTTTCCTGTCATGATACATACTTATATATACATGCATACATACTTCAGCATGAATGAATGCCAATATTAATAATAACAGTACATTGACCTGCGTGTATTACATTTTTCTTCACATTTTAGGATATTTTTATGGGCGTTAAAATGACAGTCGTGGTTACAATAACAGTTCACACGTTTTTCTGAGCATATATTTACCGTAACCGGTAAATTTTGAAAACAGATGCATGTACATAAATAATTGATAAATGGCATACATATACATAAGAAGGCACATATTTAGGTATGCATGTGCAGGTAAGTAAATTATAATATCTAAATTTTGCCACTTAACGGTATACTGAGAATCATAACATTTTTATTCCTTATATGAAAAATTTACTAGGTGTTTGGTTTTTTGTAAGCTAAAACTTTTTATTGCATTCAATTTTCGGTTTTATGTAATTGAAAAATTCGTAAAAAAAAACTTTTCCGATTTTCGCGTTAAATAAAGTAAAATAATGAAAGTATCTATCAAAATACGTTTGTTTGTAAAATGCATACAGATTATATGATTAGTGATAGACATCTTAATTTTTCGTAATAGATGATAATTGGCCTTTTTTATTTCTATGCAATACCACATAGAATAAACTTCGGACAAAATAGGGAAACTAAAAAAAAATAATAATGGAAAAAATTAAAAAAATTGTTAAAATCAACAAAACTTAAAAGAAATGCAGGAAGTATAATAATTTAAATAAAATATATAAAATTAATGAAAAGTAAATATAATTAAAAACAATTGAATGAAATAAATTTATATTAAAAAAATAAAATATATAAAACTAAATTCAATGAAACAAAATTTAAAATAAAACAAAATTAAATGCAAGAATATAATATAAAAATTGCAAAAATTATACAAAATAAATAAAAAAATATCACATTAATAAAACAAAATAAAATTAACTCAAATTTAACAAAATAAAATTAAATAAAGTAAACTAAATGAAAATAAAATGAATTTATTATTGAAAAAAAAATAAAGTAAAAAGAAATGAAATTAAATTGGCTTAAAGGAAAATTAAATAAATGGACGGGACAAGGACGGAAGCGAGTAGGTCCTTGTGACATTTACTATAGGGGCGGATTTGTGATGGAAGTGAGACTCCGTCGTCGAGTGTAGGCTTTCACCTCGGTGGAATAACGTCTCGCCACAATCCATATCAAAACAAAATTGTTTAGCATTTCCACCTCGCGAAGAAAGAGACGAACATTTCGGCCAAATATGCTATTATGAGCGCCTGAAGCGTACTCATGTGCTTGGCGACTGCAACGAAGGGTGGGATAAGAAGGTATACTTGATAAAACCGTAGGAAAATTCAGCCACAACAAGGCATCTTCAAATTGGTTGAGGCTGAGCTCAAAATAAGGTTGGCTGTAGTAGTAGATTCCACCATAAAAAAAATACATTACGCTACTTAGCTGTTCACTGAACGAACAACACAAAATCAACAACACAAAATCAAACCCGAACGCACGTGCTTCTGAGTATTGAGGAGCGCCCGTCACCCATCCCAATTAAGGTTGGACGTTAAAAAGCTACAGTCACAACAGACTGCCGAACGTGTGTCTGCTCGCCTTGCACATCTGCTCTCTGAGAGTACAAAAGAAGTCGAAATGCGTGAGGACAAGGAGTTTGACAATGCTTTAAAATTGTACGACAAGATTCGGCGCCTTGAGGAAGGTTTCAAGACCGGAGCAAAGCTTGTTGGACCAAGAGGAGCAAGCTGGTGACGGATGCCTAGAATATGCTGAATCTATGGAGAGAACCCTTCTCCAGCCCGCTGAATGGCAGTGAAAATGAAACACCCGGGGAAGGTGACTCCGACTCCCATTGATTATTATTCAAATATAATATTAAACGTATTGTGTGAAAGACTAAAGCCCACGAACTGAATGTACCTCATAAGTATGGCTTTAGACCAGGAGTGGATATTCACGATCTACCAAATCTTGGAAAAGACTGGAGAAAAGAAGATTAACACACACACACCCTCTTCGTCTCTTTTAAAGCAGCCTCCGAATGCATGAAAAGGACCTGCCTCTACGCTGCTATGCACTAAAAGCTCCGTCAGGATCGGGAAGAACCTCTCCCAGCCGTTTGGTAACAAACGATATTTCAGACAGGATGATTCCTTATGGTGTGACTTCAGAGCTGAATAGAGAAGGAACAATACGCATACGCCGATGAAGTTGAAAGTCGCTGATAATTTCGTCTATCTAGGAACCAGCATCAGCACACATAATCATGTCAGCCTGGAAATCCAATGCAAAATCACTCTTGCCAACAGGTGCTACTTTGGAGTGTGTAGGCAATAGAAAAGTTAAATTCTTTTCCCGACCAACGAAAACCAAACTTTGCAAATGGCTTATCCTTCCCGTCCTGCTATGTTGTGCCGAAGAATGAATTGTGACAATATATGTTGATCCGGGGTTAGAAGTCTTCGAGAGAAAGATTTTTTGTAAGATTTATGGTCCTTTGCGCTTTGGCAACGGCGACTATCACAAATGATGGAACGATGAGCTGTACGAGTTATACGGCGACATTGGCATAACTCAGCGAATGAAGAAGCTGCGGCTACGCTGGCTGGGCCAAGTGGTACCCAGAAGACGAGGAAGGCCAGTACTGTTTTGGAAAGACTTGATAGAGAAGGACCTGGCTAAACTTGGTATTGTTGTCAAACAGCAAAATGGAAAAACTAATATCGCAGTGTTGTGAACTCGTAAGTAAGTAAGTAAAGTAACTGAAATCAATTACAAATTATTTCCTTGTCTCGCTTGCAAATATCCCTTTACCAGCAATGCTTTATTTCATTTAATTTTTCTTCCTTTCATTTAGCTCTTTACCAGCTGGATTGACTCCATCGCATTGATTTGCATAAAACAAGCGCTGAAAGACCCTGTGATGGATGCAACGAATTCTAAAAATTGTAGTTTCAAAACACAAATTGTTAGCTCAATTGCTTTGTATTATTAATTTATACCGCAGTTTATAACTATATAAATATAACAATTATTTTTCCTAATATTATTTTTTCCTAAATACATACTAAAATTATATTCATTTATTAAATATATTTGCAACTATTGCGTTAAATTTGACCACTGTGCTGCCGCCATGTACTGCCGCTGATAATAATGAATTTGTTGTGCTCGTTGAATTTCGTATGCAGTCTGAATGTATGCGGCTCTCGACACTTCAGGATAGCTCATGGGCATGTGTACAGCTATGGTTTCCATTGGATACATATTGAAACCAGAGCCACCAGGCGACGCATTTAGTTCGGGATGGTTAAGAGAGGAGCTCATCGTCCAATAATTGCCTCGTCCTGGATCCTCCGTTGGACGTTTCACTTTGGCGAATTTCCGGTTTGTGCTCAGTGCATGCCGCACTTGATTCTGCCACGAAGTTTGATCCCGCTGATAATATGGAAAACTTTCAGAAATCCATTCCAATATTGCACTTAATGGCAATTTTTTTTGGGCACTCTGGTCTATCGCCATGGTAATTAGTTGTGGGTATGTATATTTAGGCCGTTGTACACTTTCTTCCATCGGGCTGCTATTTTCTTGTTGCTCTACTGCAGTCGGTTGTGCTGTTGATTGCTGTTGTGCGCTAGCCTCCTCGGGCGCAAAAGTGTTGCTTGAAAACTCGGTTGTTGGTGCCATATTTAAAGAAGAAGAAAAAACTTACTTAAATATTGAAATTCGCAAAGTTATTTCGAATGCTGTTACAGGCAATCTCAAAGGTATGACTGATGATTTTTCCGCTAAAACTGCTCCTATTTATATCAGAAAGTCAGCAAAATTTGGCGCGGAAATTGACCTTCCACTAAATTATTATTAGTTTTAAGTAGTTCAAAGGAGTTATTGATGCAGGCGATGTTCGTAATTTCTAGAAAAAGGTTAATGACTTTCTTTCATATCTTCATCAAGAGCATTAAAAATTTGCATGTAAATCATTATAAGCCTGGATTAACAACTCATGCTTCTTAGCTAATAACAAGGATAACAAATTTCATGGATTCGTAAGTAAATCACTTTTCTTAATGAAGGGTAAATAAATGAGAAAAGAAATATTCGAATTGTCTTTTGTTTTCATTGGCTTCAAGGGACTTCGGCCTTGAACCTCATACCTCTCGCGATTAACATATAATGGGCTATAAGTACGTTGGATTAAATCTGTATGAACCGTAGAAATACAAAACAAAATATCCTTGACTGCTTCTGAGAGTTCGAATTCCGGTTTTGGCTTCTAACACTTTTACTTTCATTTACCTTGATTTTATGACTGCGAGGTTTGGTTTTAAGAAATAATAGAAATCATAAAATAATGAACAATTTTTTAAATATTTTAATTTGATCGTCTCTCCATTCTGCTGCAAATTTATTTATGACAGCGAAAATTTAAAATAATACCAAGGCATAGATTGAGATTTTATATTTTTAGTTTTCTGTTGCCACACATAACATTTTCTGCTTCTAAAGTCTGTTTGCTGTGACCAGAAACGGGCATGATAAGTAGTCTACTCTGCCATGTTCAACCATACGCTTTTGAGATCTGCTATTGTGATCGAACTATTGGACTTTACCAGTGTTTTTTAGAACTGGAATCTCATATTCTACATGCGTCAAGTCGTGGAAATGATCCCTGAGAAAAGGATCCACACACCTCTTCTTCTCTTCGATTTGAGAACTGCCTCTACACGGATTTTTCGGATTTTAGTGCCCACGCTGAATTTATAAGCCTGGCTAAAATGACGCGAAATATCATTCAAAGCTCCATCAGCATCGGGAAGCATCTCTTCGAGCCGCTCGATACTTACCGAGGTTTCATATAGAGCGACCGTTTGTAATGGGACTTTTCACACTTAATTCTGGTTAAATAATAGAAGTGAAAGGTTCTTTCAGTGAGCGAACACCAGATAAAATACCTCCTGTTATCAAACAAAACATTTTTCGTATTCACGAGCCGACTCCCACGTCATTGTTTACAGCCATAATCGCAGATAACTTCGTCTATTTTGGAACTGTCTTCATAAGTCTAAGACAAGCTAATAATGAACTTGCAGGTTAGTGCTCTTCATGACGAATTTGAATATAATATTGTATGTTCAGATGCCATGCTAGCTTTGATCGGAAACTCATATATTCCAACCTTACATAATAAGTTATTAGCAGAGCTTTTCGCCTGCCCCCCATCCATATTTGACGCTACAATTCAGTATCGCTTAAAAGCCTCGTGTGGTTAGATTTTATTGCTGGTTAGCGGTGAGGTGCTACGTATGTAGCTGCAACTGTGAAGATACAAACTGTTAGGCGGGAAAGCAGTACCAATTTTAGTAAAATCTACCATCCTAAAGAAAATGCCAATACAGAGAGAGAGTTTCGCAGAGTTTACTCCATAATTTGACATATAGTTTGTTTCTTACGGTAAGTCAAGGTATACCGCTAATGACCATATCACTTTCACTTTTTTTACACCATCCGCAAGCTTTCCGCGAAAATTCAAAGCGGTCAAACTGCCTTCAAGCCATTTTTTATGGCGACTAGTTGGAGATGGAGCTTCCCTTAGATACTATTTTCTATCCTTGACATAATTTATTTTTAAACTCTTGTCCTTGCACTGATTGGCCAAACTGGCGCTAACCCTAAGTACTTTCATAAACCTCATCGCTCAAAAATTTTCTCAAACCAAAGTCAACAAACAAAAGACAAAAACATGACCGCTAAGCAGTTGTGACAAATTAGCTGTACTAAAAAGCCATAGAATGAACACAAAAGCTTTGACATTACAACGGAGCATAAAAGTAATGTCAAATGGTAAACTCAAAAGAAGAATAATTGCGAAATTAAGAAAAAGATCAGGGTAATTGTCTAAAGAAAAAATATGGAAAAATTAGAAAGAAACAGTTACAGTAGCACTTGTAAACGTCGACACATACATATTTAGATACATACATTACTGCACTAATTCATAAATGCCGTTAGATCCTTGAGTCCCTTTCTACGACTGAAGGCCATGCCGCTCAAGTTGGTACAACAGCATTATGTATACAAATATGTATGTGTAACTGCTTGTCGCTACGTCACTTATAGTTACACCAAATGCGTGTTCCATCTTTGAATAACTGAAATCTTCTGCATTTGATTGTTGCGGGCTTGCGGT